AGGAAAATGGCTAGGGCTTTTTCTTCTTAAAGAAAGCTCTTTAGCCTGGCCAGTGTGGCTCAGTGGTTGAGCATCTATCTATGAACCCTCATGGTTCAATTTCCAGTTGGGGCATATGCCTGGATTGTGGACTTGACCTCCAGTGGGGGCATGCAGGAAGCAGTTAATCATTGATGCTTCTATCTCTTTCTCCTTCTCCCTTCCTCTCTGAAATTAATAAAAATATGTTTAAAAAATAAGAAAACTCTTTAACATTTCTTATAATACTGGTTTGATGGTGATGAACTTTAGTTTTTTCTTGTGTGGCAAGCTCATTATTTGTCCTTTGATTCTAAATGATAGTCTTGCTGGATAATCTTAATTACTTGCATTTCATTACTTTGAATACATATTTCTTGCCAATCCCTCTGGCCTGCAAAATTTCTGTTGAGAAGTCAGCTACCAGTCTTATAGGAACTCCATTGTAGATAACCAACTGCTTTTCTTTTGCTGCTTATAAGATTCTTTAACTTTAATCTGTGGAATTTTAATTATAATATGTCTTGGTGTGGACCTCTTTGGATTCATCTTTTTGGTAACCTCTATGCTTCTTGAACTTACATGTCTTTTTCCTTTACTAGATTAGGAAAGCTTTCAGTCATTATTTGTTTAAATAGGTTTTGAATCCCTTGTGCGCTCTCCTTTTGGTACCTCTATAATGTGGATGTTGTTACAGTTGATGTCCTAGAGGTCCCTTAAACTGTCCTCATTTAAAAAAAATTCTTTTTCCTTTATGCTGCTCTAATTGGGCATTCATATTACCAATTCTTGTCATTCATATTACCAATTCTATCCCTCTGCAACATCTAATCTGATGTTGATTCTTTCTACTGTATCCTTCACTTATGACTGTTTTTTTTTTTAAAAAAAAAATGGTTTCTATATCATTTTATATCCTGTTGAAATTAGCAGGTAGAGTGTCCTTATATATTAGGTGTTCTTTAGGGCCCAGTGGTGCAGCCTCACTGGTCACCTGAGCCAGGTAGGCTGTGTACCTCTTTCTATTGTAGTTGAGCCTGGATTGCTGTTGGCAAGTAATTGGGAGTGATAAATAATAAGGACTGGCTGTCACTATAGCAAAGGAGCTGCTGTGTGGGCCAACCCCACACAGCAGGACTCCCTTCAGCAGGACTCTGGTGCCCCTTGTATCTTCCCCTTGATTGTGTCACGCATTAAGGTTGTTGGGTGGTACTCCAGACATGATCTGAAGCTGGCTGAAGGGTGGGCTGGCTCTGGGGCCTCCCAGGAGGTCATTGGCCACCTATGACCTCCTCAGGGTCACACAGCATGAGCTACAAAGTTACTTGTGCTGGGCTTGGAGGTGCCTTGGAAAGGCCACACTGCAAACCGAGTCTGGATGCCACTAGTGCCTGGCCTAGGGCCATTTTGAAAGAAGTATGGGTCATTCTCAGGCAAGATTGTTTGTAGATTGAGAACCTTTGCGAGGATTTAGGAAAGCCCACAGCATGGGCCAATATAGGGATTTATTTGGAAAAGTTACCGGAAGAGATATGACCCTAATATTGGATGGGGTGGGGTCTCAGGGAAACACGAAGGTAGGTTGATGGAAACTCAGATATAGCACCTGCTCACTCTGTGGGAGGAGGGCTCAGCATAGGAACAATGGCTTCTGCCAGCACAGCTGTCTGGGAGAAAGCTGCCCCTTCAGTTCTCACCTCAAAGCCAGGCAATTGGTTCTTCTCCATATGTCCATGGTGCCATTTGAGCTGGTGCCCCATCACTGGAGCTCACAGTGAGTCAGTCCATCAGTGATTAAGTCTGTGCTTGGGCCCTTTAAGAGAACACCCAGGACTCCAGCAGCCCTTCATCTCACTCAGCCACAATCCCTGCTGGTTTTCACAGCTAGTAGTTATGGTGACTTCTCTTCTTGGCACTGGAACCCTGGGTTGACAGGGTGTGTGTATGTGTGTGGCTTGTGTGTGGCTGGGACTCTTTGCTCCTCAGTGGGTACCTCTGCAGGGAAGATTACCCTACCAATTTTTAACCACCCGATGTGGGTGTGAGACCAGCCTGTTCTGTTGCTCTTACCAGTCTCAAAGTGGCTTCTGTGTATCCATAGTTATAGGACTTCTGCTCAGCTAGATTTCAGGTTCAATGATGGTTGTTCTGTAGTTGGCTGTAACTTTAATGTGGTTGTGGGAGGATGCCAGGACTGAATTTACTTACTCTGTCATCTTGACTATAACTCTAATTCTGAGTGCATTTTAGCTCATATCACAAGAGTTAAGAGCATGGATCTGGGAACCAGACTGCTGGAGCCTGGATCCTAGTTCTGCAACTTAGTTACTAGAGGCCCAGTGCATGAAGTTTATGCACTTGGGGGGTGCTCCCTCAGTCCAGCCTGTGCCCTTTCACAGTCCAGGAGCCCTCAGGGAGTAGTCCTATGCCATCAGTCCAGACATTCTTAGCACTGCTGCAGAGGCAGGAGAGACTCCTGCCACTGCCACTGCTCTCGCCAGCTGTGAGCCCCGCTTTTGGCTGAGTGTTGTTCCCCCTGTGCCAGCACACTGACCACCAAGGGGCAGCTCTTGTATTGAGCATCTTCCCCCTGGTGGTCAGTGTGCATCATAGCAACTGGTTGTTCTGCTATTTGGTTGATTTGCATATTAGCCTTTTATTATATAGGATGTGATTTTTTGGCAGGCTACTTAGCCTCTCTGAACCACAGTTTCCTCATCTGTAAAATATAGAAAATAATGGCTCCTACAGCAAAAGTTATCAGGATAAAATGAATTAAAACAGGTAAAGAAGCTAGGACGTGAGGCCTGGTGAGGGAAGTCGTGGGCTTCAGGGTTCCTACTAGAGCTTTGGGTCCAAGCTTAGGTTGGTGGAATAATTCATTCATTACATTCTGGGGACAAATAGAACATCCATGTCAAATTGAGGGGTGGTTTCTCAGAGAGAAGCTACATAGGCTGGGGTAAATAGGTATCACACTTGAATAGCACAGGCCTGGATAGTAAATGAAGCTCTCCCTCTTATGGTAATTGGGCAAGTTACTTAATCCTCTGAGACTTACTTTTTTTCTCATGAAAACTGGGGGTAATGATACCTATCTTGTACAGATCTTATAAAATTTTTATCAAGAGGCTGACAATGTCTAGTATGTACATAGATGCTCATTGAAACACCTTTGTACTGGGTAAGTCAGCAGCTCATCTCTGTACATAGAATGCCTACTGGTCCACTCCTCATGCAGTGTTTAAAAATGAGCATTTCCTCTGTATTTTCAATAATGAAATAATATCAGAATCCATTATCCATTGAGTGAGAAATGAGACATCCATCCCCTCTTGATAAGACATTCACTTTGAGTGGTATTTTTCTGAAGGACCTCGGGAGGCCTGGGCTTTCACAGATTCTGCTATAGAAAAATTTCTGGCCAGCTACTGCCATACCTCAAGGATACTGCTGTATCTTGCTGTGACCTTTTCTAAAACTTTGGCAGAAAAATGTAGAGTACAGCATTCTAACCCAGAAAAGCAAGTCTAGGGTAATGAATGAGCTCATAGAAATCTTTTGTGTATGTTTCTGGCATGGTGAATTGAGCCAACACAGAAAATACAAATATAGAAATACCAGGTAAAATACTCTAAGGAAAAAAGCTTAAACACATAGTAGTTAAGCGTGGCTGGAAGAAAGGTTATGTGAGTGAGCTTAGAAAAGGATTCTCCAATCTTGAAATGCCTTTAGGCTTGCCAACACTTTGACTGTATTCTTGAGAGATCCTGAGCCAGAGCTACAGGGCATTCAAATTTCTGACCCACAGGAACTGCGAGAAAATAAGGGGTTTTGGTTTTTTTTGTTAAGCTGCTAATATGAAGTAATTTGTTACCTAACAATAGATAATCAAAGGACCGTGATTATCCAAAATCACTATATAAAGCTTCTGAAATATCTCTGAGAGCTGTAACCAGGAAAAAGCTAACCATCTCCAAGAATGGTTTATTTCTTCTTAGAGACAGTGAGAATAACATACATATGTTTTCTTTCTAGTTTTGGCCACGAGGATGCTCAGAGACAAATATATGGCTCAGTTGTAATAATCAGGTAAGACCCTATGGCCTATTTATGTGTGTTCTTACTCCTGGTCTTTTCTTTTATTCTGAATTGCTTGGTTCTTCATCCTGATTTGTTTTATTATTATTTTTAATCCTGATTTTTTTTAGTTCATTTTTATATCTACACTAATAAAAGAGAAATATGCAAATTGACCATACCTCCATAATGCTCACCAGCCAATCAGGAGTGTGCTCAGTGCCTGCATATGCACATTAACCTGCCATTTTTGTTGGGTTAATTTGCATACTCCTCCTGATTGTCTGGTTGTCATCACAGAGGTACAGTCAATTTGCATACTTTTTTATTAGTATAGATGTGAAGCCATCCCAAATTCAGTTTACAGAGATGCAAGGCATTCAGCATACTTTAAAAAAAATAATTAAGTTCACACCTGTTGAACAGGAGGTGTCTGGAGGCAGTGGTGGGGAAGATCAGGTAATGCAGGCAACGAGCAGGGTTAATTTGGATTGGGTCAGAAAATAGCAAGTGATTATGAGAAGAAAAAAAAAGATGGCAATTGATCACCAATCCCAGGGGGCGGGGCCAAGGGTTTACCAAGTCACACAGGGAAATATCTTTGAAATGTATTCATTGCCCCTGGTCCCCAAGGCTCTCCTAAGACACCTCCCCTCCCGGACCCCGCTCCTCCCTCCCTCTGGCCACTCCTCCGCCCTCGGCCCCCTCGCTGCGCGCGCCTTCTACCTCCGCCTGGTGGCCAGGCCCCCGGACGGTTGCGCGCTCCGCTCCTCCCTCCGCCCGCGCGCGCCTCCCGCCTCGCCTGGCTCCCTCCTCTCAGGGCAGTTGGGCCGCGCGCCCGTGGGGGCGGGGCCTGGGGGAGGCGGCCGAGCCAATGGGGCGCGGCGGCGGTGGCGGCGGCCACGGAGGCGGTGGCGGTAGTGGCGGTGGCTGGGTCGGGCCCCGACGGGCGGCGGCTGCTGAGGTGGAGGCGGAGGGAGGCGGCGGCGGCGGCGAAGGCGAAGGCGAAGGAGGCGGCGGCGGCGGCGGCGGCGGCGGCGGAGGGGGGAAGATGGCGGCGCCCGTCCTGCTGAGAGTGTCTGTGCCGCGGTGGGAGCGGGCGGCCCGGTATGCAGTGTGCGCCGCCGGGATCCTGCTCTCCATCTACTCCTACCACGTGAAGCGGGAGAAGGAGCGGGACCCCGAGCACCGGGCCCTCTGCGACCTCGGGCCCTGGGTGAAGTGCTCCGCCGCCCTTGCCTCCAGGTAGCCCGGCTGAGGGGAGCGCGCCGGGGACGGCCGAGTGGGGCGAGGGCGAGGGCGGGGGCGGGGGCGGGGAGTGGGGAGCGCGTGGCGGGCGCTCGGGCCTGGGGGCCGGAGGGGCTGGGCCGCGGAGGAGCCCAGGGCGGCCGGTGTGGGTGGGGGGCGGCGGCCTGGGGCTCCGGCCCGGGGCTCCGGTCCTGGGGCGGCCCCCGAGCAGGCCGCCGGGGCGGAGGTGGCGGGGCCGCGAGCCCGGCGAGGAGGGATGAGGTGGCAGAGTGCAGGCGGGAGGCCGGCGCGGACGGGAGCAGCGGGGCCGGCCGGGGCCGCCGGGAAGGCGGAGAGCGGTCCGGCCGGCTTGACAGATGTGCTCGCGGTCGCCGGGAGGCGGGTCGGGTGTGGGACCCTCCCCGGGGAGCCGTGCGGTCAGAGTCCGCCGGGGGTCCGGGATCGCTGCGGTCCCGGGCGGTGCGGCAGGCACGGGCTCTGGGCTCGCCCTTCCCACCGTCTTCCCGGCGCTGGGACAGGTGTTTCCGCGGCCAGGCCTCTTTGTACTCTGTAGCGCTAATGAGAATTTGCACTTACTGAGCCGGTGACATTTGCGGGCAAACACGAATTTGACCCCACTCTGGAAGAGATACCAGCACTTAACTTATCTGATTTTTTGGATTTCCTCTCGTGTAAGTTCAGTGTTCCAGAGATGGGGAAATGGTCCGAGTTTGGGTCTAGCTTAAGCTTCATTTGAGTGAAATCTGAGTGTGTCATGTGTAGTGATGTTTTGGGCATTGAGGTGACTTTTTAAACCTTGTTGATTAGTGTAATGGATCACCACAGAAGATGAAAAGAACATGCATTGCTAAACTGGAGGTATTGGTCAGTTTATTGGTTTGTTTTTAAAAAAATGCTGTTGATTCACATATTAAATTTTATTTTTTGCATTAGATTGACCTACACAGATCACTTAATAAAAGAGGAATTTATATCTTAAAAGTGGTTGGTTGCTTTTTTTTTTTTAATTTAGGAAGATTCGTTTTTAAAAAGTAGCAAAAGTGAGAGTAATGATTTCAAAGTTGATAGGTTACAATTTTAATAGAGACATACTATGCCAAATATTTTGAATTTGTTAACTATAGTCACCTTTGAACACTTTCTTCCCCTCCTGTAAATTGCTATGTAGGCAATTGTATAAGCTTACCTGCTTTATTTTGACATACGTATTAGTGATTACAGGAACAAGCTAGCATTGCAGCTTGTCTGGTCACTATTTACAAACTTTATCTATTTAATGGAGATACAGAAATTTGTAAATTAAAGTGACGAGTGATTTATAGGCCAATTTCATTTTGGAATCACATAGAGTAAGCATCATTAAAAGTTTTTATTTTGCTAAAGTAAAAAAGGCTTTAAGTAAAAGCAGACTATTGGAGACTGCAAGTGCCGTATTTTTCGGACCATAAGACACACCAGTTTTTAGAGAAGGGAAATGAAGAAAAAAAGATTCTGAAACAAATAGTGTCCTAAAATATTTTATGTGCATTAAAACCCAACATCACAGTCATAAACACATGTAATCAACCCTGTAAAGTAAACAGCAGCATTTAGAACCATTTTAGAGCCGGGCAAGCACACAGAGACCACACAGAGCCGGGCAAGTAAAAAAACCTTTTTTTTTTAAAGTATATGTGTAGGCTATATTTGGACCATAAGACGCAGGGACTTTTCCCCCCCACTTCTGGGGGGAAAAAAGTGCGTCTTATGGTCCGAAAAATACGGTAGTTTTTAAAATTCTACTTAAGTATTGATTGCGATTAAGCAGAAGTAGTTAAAAACATGACTATTTTAGGAAAAGTAAGTTTGAGCTGAGGTTTGAGTAGAATTGAAGATAAAGAATGAGAAAAATTAACTGATGAAAGGAATTCAGCGTTAATTCATGTGACTTGTTGAAACTCACCTTATTCTCATTTCTCAATTCTTAAGTGTCCTAATTTAAATAGAATGAAGTAGAAATTGATGAGAATCATGACTGTTTGTGTTTGAGAGTATATGTGTGTTAAGTCCTGAAGTATTTTGGGAAGCAACACTAAAAGAATAGTTCCCAGACTTTTTGTATTTTAAAAGAAATATTTCCCCCAAAAATTGGGACATTGTAATAGAGTTGACAGTTTTTTGTCCTGCCATGTATAGCCGATAAAAACAGCAATAATAATTCACACCATATTTACTGCCACCATAATTTCATTAAAAAAAAGAAAAGGATATTTTGCCTAGACAGCATGACAGGTCGACTTAGGTCATGAAATCCGGTCAGGGCACATGCCTAGGGTATGGGCTCCATCCCCAGTGTGGGGCATACTGGAGGCAGCAATCAATCATCGTTGATGTTTCTATCTCTCTCCCTCTCCTTTCCTCTCTGAAATAAAAAAATATATATTTTAAAAAAAAATAAAAATAAAGGATATTTTAACTCAACTTGAAAGAACAGTATCTCAGAATAAAAGCCCTTTAAATAGAATCATTTAACTTTATTACAAAGTTTACTTTTATTTGTCCTCATTTTAATATAAATTAGTAAAAATTGTGGCAAACCTGCACCAGCCTGCCAGCTGAAATTAAGTAACTCCTGATGCGGTCTCAAGCTAGTCACTTATCTTCCTATAGCCTCCTTGTTTCATGTGTTAAATGGGAGTATTAAAATTTGCTTTACCAGATGAATGGTAGGATTAAAGATGATACATGATATCAGAAACTGGAATAAAGTGTGTACTCTGTTAGTTATAGTTGCTAACTAGATTGCAGGTGTTTTTTTTAGTGTCTGGTAATAAACACCTTTAAGTAGTGTAAGTTCTTGTTTAAGGATTAGTCATTTATGTATTTTAAATGTCAATTGTTTTAGTGTTTATTGCTCACTCCATGGCAGACTATAAAGACTTAAAATCTATTTAAAACTGTTTTAAAAGTGTGGCAATGGAAACAAAATAATGTGTAGACTATTCCTTTTAAATATTTCCTTTAAATTACATTAGATTCCTTCTAAGAAAGGTTTCTATGTAAAAATAGTACAAATAACCTCAAAAGATTAATAGACTTGACCATTCTACAGGTGTTTTTTTTAAAATATATTTTTATTAATTTTTTACAAAGAGGAAGGGAGAGAGAGAGCTAGAAACGTCAATGAGAGAGAAACACTAACAAGCTGCCTCTTGCACACTCCCTACCGGGGATGTGCCCGCAACCAACGTACATGCCCCTGACCGGAATCGAACCTGGGACCTTTCAGTCCGCAGACCGACGCTCTACCACTGAGCCAAACCGGTTTCGGCCATTCTACAGTTTTTAAAAAATATATATTTTATTGACTTTTTACAGAGAGGAAGGGAGAGGGACAGAGAGTTAGAAACATCCATCAGTTGCCTCCTGCACACCTTCCATTGGGGATGTACCCACAACCAAGGCAAATGTTCCCTGACCAGGATTGAACCCAGGACCTCTCAGTCTGCAGGCCGATGAAGCTCTATCCACTGAGTCAAACCGGTGAGGGCTCTACAGTTTTAAAATATATATATTTGTTGATTTCAGAGAGGAAGGGACTGGGAGAGATAGAAATGTCAGTAATGAGAGAGAATTATTGATTGGCTGCCTCCTGCACCCCCTCCAATGGCAGGTGGGCCATCAACGGGCATGTGTCCTGGCTGAGAATTTGAACCATGACCTCCTTGTTCAAAGGTCGTTGTTCAACCACTGAGCCACACTTGCCAGGCCATACTACAGTTTGTAAGTGATAATAATAATATTTGTTCTTCCTGGTTTGATTCAGTGGCTAGAGCGTTGTCCTGTGACCTGAAGGGTCGAGGGTTTTATTTCTGGTCAAGGGCACCTTGGTTGCAGGTTCCATTGATCCCCGTCCCTTGTGTGGAAGGCAACAAGTGTCTCACATTGCTGTGGTTTTTTTTTTTCTCCTCCCTCCGTCTTCCTTTCTACTTGCTATAGAAGTCAATGGGATAAATATCCTTGGGTGAGGGTTAAACACACACACACACACACACACTCACTCACTCTCCCAACATTTAAATGGTAATAATAGTATTTGAAATCCATCAAGTCCTCAAAAAGTTGCCTTATTAATATATATATATATATATATATATATATTTTTATTGATTTTTTTTTTTTTTTTTTTTTTTTTTTTTTTTTTTTTTTTTTTTTTTATAGAGAGGAAGGGAGAGAGATAGAGAGCTAGAAACGTCAATGAGAGAGAAACATCAACCAGCTGCCTCTTGCACACCCCCTACCGGGGATGTGCCCGAAACCAATGTACATGCCCTTGACCGGAATCGAACCTGGGACCTTTCAGTCCGCAGACCGACGCACTACTGCTGAGCCAAACCGGTTTCGGCAAAAGCTGCCTTATTTTGCAAAATGTTGGACTAGTGCCTCTCACCTATCTTTAAAAAAAATTGGTACCATATATTTACTATATCCCCTTTCCATTGAGAGCATACATTTTTAGAATTTGTCCAGTTGCCCAAGGTAACACAGTTAATACCAGGTGGGGTCTAGAAATCTTCCAGAGTCTTGTTTAGGGTCTCCCCCTGCCTGCATTTTTTCAGTTAAATTCTTTCATTGCTTCCAATTAAAATATATACTAAACTATATAGGGAACAGACTCCTTCATACCCATTTCCCCCAAAATATAGTTCTCCCTCTTCATAAGCAGCCATAAAACTCCAGTTTTATGCCCATACAAGTATAAATATGGTCATATTCTCCCTATTTTATAAACATGAAATTATATATTCTGACCTGAACTTTATTTTTATTAGCATTTCCATCACTACTATATTATTTTTTACTATATTATTGATTTCAGAAAGGAAGGGAGAGGGAGAGAGAGAGAGAAACATCAGTGATGAGAAAATTATTGATTGGCTGCCTCCTGCTCATCCTACACTGGGGATGGAGCCTGCAACCCACCCCCACATGTGCCCTTGACCAGAATAAAACCCAGG